TGGCTTATTATGATGTAGATTATGAAAAGAATCCCAAAGGCTCTAATTATTGGCGCAACAGGTGAGTTTCCATTTCTTTGTCAAGGATTCTGTGGTAGATGAACTGTTTTTGTTACAAATGAAATCTGGTATTGGAGAAAACAGTAAACAAAATGAAAGCCATATCTGCACCAGTTGTTTCCACTGCAGCCAATTTGCCAAAGCCACTGGAAAAAATCTTGTTAAAACATGGGTCTTCCCAAATTAAACTTGTGGGGAATGAGGTAAAGCAGCAGCAATAGACGGGGGGGGGGAGGAAGGGAGGAGACAGGATGCAGAATGGCTAAAGAAGAGCTGGGCAGTTACCATTGAAGACCTGCCCATCAGCAACTGGTCCCAGGATTTTCTTACACTAAAGACAGGATGATGAATAGGTGAACATTCTTCCTCCCCTTGGTTGGCAATATAAAGTTGGTTTCTGAGCCCAGGAGTGACTAAGATGGCTCACAAGCAATGCTAGCAGCAACAGCTGAAGTATGTGCTTTGATAGACTTGTCCTCGTTGTGTCAGAAGAGTTCTTGCTTCAGGAACAAGTTCCCTTAGAAAATAACTCTGTAGTAGAGGTTGTTTCCTTGAAACAACCTTCACTTTTATAATCTTTTCTTGGCAGTGTTGCATTTTAACAATCTTAGCTGGAAAACCGATGTTCTAATTTTGTTTTCCACTTTGGTGAATTCATTAAGCATCCAGCAGATGTGATCTGGTATTGTAGAATTCATTCCTCAGTTAACAAACATTTACACTTTGGCAGGTGTGGAGTTGAAACTGCACTGGGTTCACTTGTGGAGTTGGTTGTATTTTTTTGCCCCCATAGCTTGGGGTGGCCATCTGGTTTCCTTGAGCTGTCAGTAACAAAAGAGTTGCCTTGTTTCTGCAGAGTGATGAAGGTCGCTCGGAGTTTCCTGGATGCTGGGCACAAGCTTAATTTTGCTGTTGCCAGTCGAAAGACTTTTGGCCATGAACTCACGGAGTTTGGGCTGGATGGTTCTACCAGTGATGTCCCTCTTGTTGCTATCAGAACAGCCAAAGGAGAGAAATTCGCCATGCAAGAGGAATTTTCGTAAGTTCACATTTCTGTCCCTTTGTTGGGAATAAACAGCTTCTACTTGGAAGCTCCCCTTTTGAAACAGGAATAGCTCCTGCAGGGCAAAGTTTCCATTGAATTGTTTTGGGAAAAGCTTTGAAGGAGAGGCCTGTGTTATTCCCTTAGTGGCTCTTCACAGTAGTACAAATGGGTCTATGCTGGCTGAAGCAATTCTTACTCCATTTGCAGCCGTGATGGTACAGCCTTGGAGAGATTCCTTCAGGATTATTTTGATGGAAAGCTGAAAAGATACCTGAAATCAGAGCCCATCCCAGACAACAATGATGGTCCAGTGAAGGTGAGAGCGGGGCTACAGTCTTCCATTAACCCCATGGTAACTGGGGAAGAGATTTTACATGGATGGTGTTGTAAATTACGTTTCTGAAATAATAGGAGAAGCAGAGCCATTTCTGTAGTGTCTTGATTCCCTTAGAAAAAAAGTGCACCATAACAAAAAATCAAATCAAATCAAATCAAAATTTTGCTCATCAGTGCTTAATTAGCACTTTAATGGCTCTCCTTTGGTTCCAAATGCTAAGCGGCTGTAAGAAAACAAATAGAAGTATTAGGGGAATGTGAAATTTTACAGTACTTACATGCTAGCATAAAAAGCTGTCTGAAACTGGGGAAGTTCACCTTGATAAGAGCAAACAGGTCACTGGAGCTGGTAATGTTATTACTCCGTTGTACAAATGTGAGCTTGGACAATACTTTCTGCATTGCAGGGAGAGGCAGGTATGCTTGCATCTGGAGAGAGCAGCTGTTCTGCTTTTACCCATGACGTATTTGGGCTCTTTCCATATGATTCTGGCATGTTTGTTTAAACCTTCTTGTTTCTCTCTAGGTAGTTGTGGCTGAAAATTTTGATGAAATCGTAAATGCGGAGAGTAAGGATGTGCTTATAGAATTCTACGCCCCGTGGTGTGGCCACTGCAAGAATCTTGAACCCAAATACAAGGAACTGGGGGAGAAGGTAGGGGCAAAGGAAGCAAAGGTTGCATCCACTTGAAGGTCTCTTGGAAGAAGTTACTTTATTTATCTGACTGGTGGGAGTTTCTTTCCGGGTTCAGCAGTCCCAAGAATGGGGAATATTGGTGGCCTGTTTGATTTTGACTTCACATAATTCTGATCTCAGTCACCATTTTCTCAGAGGGCTGAAGAGTTTTGTCCTTCCTAATTACTGGCTTGTTACCTTTTTTTCAGCTTAACAAAGACCCCCACATTGTTATAGCTAAGATGGATGCCACAGCCAATGATGTGCCTTCACCGTATGAAGTCAAAGGGTAAGGAAGCCCCAGGAATGGCTGTTTGCTTTTCCTGGTAAGCTGCACCTGCTATTAGCAGAAGAGCTTTCTTAGACATGCCTTTTGACCTGTTCGCCAGTTGTGCAGAATAATAGGTTGATTGAGGTTTGAGGACCGGTTAAATTTATGTTTGCTGTTGCTACAAAAAAAGATTGAATATGTCTAACTGGATCTTTCTTTGTGCTGCAGCTTTCCCACAATTTACTTTTCTCCTGCCAGCAGCAAGCAGAGTCCAAAGAAATACGAGGTGAGCAGATCTTTTGCTGGCTTCTTTCTACTAGAAGGACTTTTTAGGTAAAGAGATGGGATAACAATTATAGCAGCAGAAATAACACCAGTTTGGTCTGGTTGGAGGGGAAACCACCCTGAAATACCAGAGCAATAGACTGGATTACAATCTTTTAAAAGCACTCCAGAAAAAGTTGATGGCAACTCCGCCTTGGCACTGAGGAGGGGAGAGGAGCATGACTGAGGTGATGTGAAGTTGAGCTGTGCTCTGCTTCCTAGACCAGTGGTTCTCAACTTTTTTAATGCCGCAAACCCCCCCAACCGGTCGTAAGTCGAGGACTACTCAACCGGTCGTAAGTCGAGGACTACTCAACTGGTGCAGCACAGTTTGCAGAATGGGACTTTTGGTGGGCTCAGCAGGGCAGAGACAGCCTGGACAATTCCTATTGGCTTTTGAAAGCCAATAGAATCAGACTCTATTCAAGAGAGTCTATTCTATTGGCTTTCAAAAGCCAATAGAATAAAAGGGAGTAGCACAGCTAAGGAAAAGGGAAAAATGGCAGACTGTGTTGTTTGGCGACCCCCGTGAAATGGTCGTTCGACCCCAAATGGGGTCCCGACCCACAGGTTGAGAACCACTGTCCTAGACAGAGGGTAAAAGATGGGGATTGTTGTGAATTGTGGGTGGTACAAACAGTGGGCGTGGCCTGCATCTCACTAGTGTCTCTTGGCCTCACTTCTCCTTGCCAGGGGGGGCGTGAGGTGAGCGACTTTGTCAGCTATCTGAAGAGGGAGGCCACATATCCGCCAATTCTACAAGAAGACGAAAAGCCTAAGAAGAAGAAGAAGGTGCCGAAAGAGGATCTGTGAGAGCCTTGGCTGCCGCCTTGTTCAGAAGAGAGCCCGGCGGCTGCTCTGGGAAGGAGGCCAGGGCTCCATGGTGCAGCTTCGTAGCTGGAAAGCAAAACCCTTCAGGCAGAGGAGAGCCAGTGGTTGCTGTCCTACTTCTTTACCTGCCCCTTGTCTCTTAGCTGCATTTGCCATGGATACCCTGGACTGGAGAGGGAGGGGGGTGTTTTCTAATTTTTTTTGTACATCTGGAGGAATGAACGAATAAATGAACCCTTGCCCCCCATCCCTACTCCTAATTGCTGTGTAATGGTGGGACCGGGGAGCCTCACGCTGGTGAGGCAGTGTTGCTGGCTTGGTCTTTAAGAAGGGGGCTACTGAGAGCAGCCTCCGTCGGAGCCTTTTTTTGGAAATAAACAGTCCTGGGCTGAGTGAACTACGCCAGAGTAGCAGCGGTGGTTGCTTCTGCTTCCACTTTTTGCTGAGGAACGGGCAGGTAGTCTGTAACTACTGCATGAAGTCAAAAGAATGGATACCGTTGTGTGGAGTTCTGTCTGGAAACTTGAATCTTTCTCAAAGAAAGCAAAAGCACCACAATATTTTGCTCATTAGTGGCAGGGAAAGGAAGAAAACTGAACAAGCTCAGAGGGCACCGAAGACCCCCACATTTCAATCCTGAGCGACAAATATTTTCCTCCATTGGTAGCTTAGCCACTGTTCATTAGCCCCAGCTCCCTCCTGGATAGTTAAGTCAGCCAAGAAGGTGGTTTGTAGTTGGGTTGATGCTGCGATGATGGACTCTTGAGACGTCATCTGAGAAGGGGCCGCTTAGGTGCCTCCTGAGGGACGCCACAGCCTGACTTCCTTTCGCTTCCCCCGGGTGCTCAACACCTGCGATGACGTCACCTGCTGCTTTGAGGGTCTTCCCAAATGGCCGAGCTTTCAAATGGGGCTTCAAGGCCCTGTCGCGGCGCTTGGGGGTCCGGCCGACCGAAAAGCTCCTTCAGCACTGAGGGCTCCGCTCGGCCAGGATGGGCGGCAGGTTGCAGCCGCAGCCAGAAAGGCCTTGCCGCAGCTTCGTCTCCCGACCTCCGCCTCAACCGCGAAGGGGCTTCTCCCTCTGGCTCCTTCCAGGCACCCCGGACACACACACAGGCCGGGAAGGCCCGGCCCAAGACCTCCCGGGTTCCTCTCAGAAGCTCGCTGACTTTCCCAACCGCGGCCGCTCCTTCGGGCGCCCCTTCCCGCCTAGCTGCTCCTCCGGACTCCCGCCTCGCACCTTCCCCACCGGCCGCCCTCGGCTGCCCACCTGGCCGCGGCACACGCCTCCCTGCCACGGGACGGACCTCCGCCTCTCCCGCCGCGGGTCCTCAGCAGCCAAGCTGGGCTCTTCCCACTCCCCCTCACCCCGCGCCAACCGGAAGCGGCGGCTGCCTCCGCCGGAAGTACGTCCCTCCTTCCCTTCCCGAGTTCTGCGGTTGGCCCGCGCGCGCCGCCCCGGAAGTGCGTCATTGCGGGAGCGGCGAGGCGATGGCGGCCGAGGGAGACGTGGAGTTGGAGCTGGAGGCCGAGCCCAACGGCTCCGCGGTCGGCGGGGATGGCGCCGGCGGCCGCCCGGCCGAAAAGCCGCGGAAGCACGACAGCGGCGCGGCTGACCTGGAGCGCGTGACCGACTACGCTGAGGAGAAGGAGATCCAGAGCTCCAACCTGGAGACGGTGCGGCTGCCTCCCCTTCCCGGTCCCCCTTCGCTCCGCGGGCGGGCGGAGGCACTCCGGAAAGGGGAGGAAGGAGGAGGAAGGGGTCCCGGCCCCGTCGGCTTTCCCCGCGGCCGTCGAGGGCGGGAAGAGTCGGAGAGGGAAGCGCCCCGCCTGCCCAGCCATTGCTGCCTGCCGTCGCCCATGACCCATTCTGGTCTCTTTGACAACTCTTCGCACTAGTTGTTTTTCTTGGGTTGCGCCCCTGTGGAAGATTAGCTCCCCCCCAAATTAATTAGATTAGGCTAATTCGTACTTCTTGACACACAATCTATCCCCTAATTAAGCCCATGCTTAATTTTCTAAATCACCCCCACATTCAAATTTATTTAATTTCTATAGTGCCCAACTCTGGGTGGCTTACAATTCTAAAATTTTAAAACAATTTAAAAAACAAAACAATAAACATATTAACAAAATAAATAAGCACAAACATCCATGCCCCGTCTTTTTCTTTCATACATGAACTTTGTGATGTTCTTTTAAATTTATCATTGTTTAAAAACATATTATTTTAGACAAACCTAAGTAATTTTTTCTAAATACGTAACTTACAAGTCACAATATGCCACAGTTACTGTTTTAGCCAGCTGAAATCTTTAGAACGTATATTTTAGACTTCCTTATAAAATGTTAGTGTTATGTTGTTGCTCCAGAAATCTTTTTCAGGAGTTAGGGATTTTACTACCTTCATAAATCTGACCTTTCTAATTTATCTGAGAAATCAGATTTTCTGGGGTCTGTCCTGTAAAGCTTTGCCTAAGGATTGTACCTTTTACACAAGAATCCTAGAAAATAAAATTACTTTATTCCTTAACTCAGGTTTATTGGAACTCCTGCTATGCATGGATATTTCCACACTACCCTTCTGCAGTTTCAAGTGGTTTCACAATGAAGAACTATGAAAAGAAAGTTCAAAGCAGTTTTAAAACTTTTTGATGACTTTAAACTTTCTACAATGCCTGCTGTATAATCTGTTTTTATATATGCAAACTTTTAAGGTTTCTAAGCTTTCATTTTGATTTTGATTTTCCTAGGCCATGTCAGTGATAGGGGACCGAAGGTCTAGAGAGCAGAAAGCAAAGCAGGAACGGTGAGTGCTTAACAGTTGTTCCCAAAGAGCGGCCTGGGGCTTATAGGTATAAAAGTACAGAATTCAACTGATTTTTCTCGGTGGAAATTATGTAGTAAACGCATGATCAAAACAGAATGGAATATTATTTCCCAGGTAAGGCCAAAATGTACCATTCTACATCAATCTACCTGACTTGGCAATAGTTAGAAAACTCAGGAAGGTTGACACGCCCTGAAGTTCTTTGGGATGGGATATTTTCTATATTCTTTCTCTATTAAACTATAATACAATTTCCCTTTTAGAAAGGTTTGCTTGTTTAAAATTCATTTGAAATGAACTTGACATTAAATACTGATCTGCTCTTGTACTTTGATCTTACTTGCCATAGCCGAAATAAATTAAATCTGTTTTGATGTCTGATACCAGCTTACTGGTTTTTGCTACCAAGACCGATCTTGGGCTTTTTAGGGTTCTATTGTATAGGCAGTATTATTTCTGTTATGTTCCATCTGGCATACTTGTACCAGAAAGGGGACAGAAGGACTGTATTATTGTCTGGATGAATATAATCCCAAAACATTTCTCCTTGTTGTAGAGAAAAAGAGCTGGCAAAAGTCACCATCAAGAAAGAGGATCTGGAATTGATTGTAAGTCTAGCATAGAGCTAAGAAGTTGGCTTGACTTTAACAGAGAGGAATTTGACATCTCAGAAAGTTCTTTCCTGGATACCTGCAACTTGTACTGGCTAAAAATTACCCTTTTCTTTTTAGATGAATGAGATGGAAATATCTAGGGCAGCAGCAGAACGCAGCTTACGGGAACACATGGGCAATGTGGTGGATGCACTAATCACTCTTACCAATTGAGAACTCTGTGCTGGATGTACTTCTGTGGAGAAAAGGAAAAATATGCCTCTGGAGGGCCTTTTTTATGCAGATTATGCACTGTATGGCACATTTTGAAGTTATTAAATAAAGTTGTGATTTTCCAACTTACTGTGTCTATATTGCTCCAGATCAATCAGTTATATTCCCCCAATTAACTGAAAAGTGTTATGCTTTTAAATGGACCCTTCCTTTCGAATTTTACTGAAGTCCACATTTTCTATATATGAAATCTTTAATTAAAGAAATGCATTAAAGAAAATCAGAAAAAGGCTATCAGATCCTTGTGACTACTTTTTTCAAGGTAAAGAGGAACATCTGGAGATAGGAAAAATAAACTTTATTCCCAACTTCGATTATCATTACCTGTACCCTTTCTAGTGGTGATTTACAGAATTCAGTAGGGCCAGACCACCTTGAAGAGATGAGCTTTTCTGGTTCCCAAACTGCAGCTATAAAATCAACCCTGGTACTGTGAGATCCAACAGATTCCAAAATAAAAATGGAACAATCCAATATTATCTGGAAAATGAATTTTGTACAAATTACACTGTATTAGCTCTAATGCTATTTTACTTGCAAACAATCCTTTAATGCTGCCACTGTTCTATCAATAAGAGCAGTGGCTTCACACAAGTACTAAAACAATGCATGATGTTAGTATAGTTTGTTTAGTAAACTATAGAAATAAATAATGACTTAGCATCTTTCATAAAAGCTGCTTTCCAGCCTTTTTCTATGGCACACCTATCTTTTAACAGCTATGCAGCAATGCAGATTTTTAGTTGAAAGTGGTTTTGTATGACAGAATCAGATCAGCAAATAACCAAGATCAGGGTACTTTTCTCTCTCAAATTCAGATGAATGGGTCATTTAATAGTTTGTTTCCCCCCCCCCCACGCTATTTAAACAGTCTTCCTGTAAAGAGCAGTTGTCTTTATAGTCAGTCAAAATTAAATACAGGACTGCAAAAGATCTAAAGGAGAGTCTGTTAAACTGAATCAGCACCAGCTTAATCGATTCAGGCCAATGAAAATATTTTGTGGTCCCAAGTTAAAAAGTAGTTGTACAAAAAGCCAGAGCTAAAAGAGGGATCCAGACAATACTTCCCCACTCAAGTTACTTTCCGCTTCTTAGCAGAAGGTCTCTCAAAGACATCCCGCACGCCAGCTGCCTTCTGCTTGAAGAACTTTGTATTCTGGGCACTCTCCTGCCCCCAAGCAGAGTCGAAGGAAGTTGTATCCTGGTCCACTAGGTGGGTGTATTTAGTCCGTCCGGAACGCCCAAAGTTCTTCACCTAGATGGCAAAGAGAGAAGAAAGTGTGGGAAGGATTGAGTGAGGTCTCCGGAACTGCTCACGTGGCCCTGGTGCTGCCCAGAGAATGCTGGTGGGAGCCACAAAGCTCAACCTGCCTCCAATCCATAACCCGGCTCCTCTCCCATTTACCTGCATGACTTTAGGTAAGATTGTCTTGTTGAAGTGATCCTCTAGAGTTGGTGCGCTGAAGTCCCTCTTGTACACATCCTCGTCTTCATCCTAAAGAAACAAGAGCACAGCTGAGCACAGGGAAGTCTGAGAATTGTTGGGGATAGAGAAAAAGGCCGCAACACTCCAGTTTGCAGGGGAGATAAAATTGATGAGGACAAAGCTGTTATATAGAGGATAACAAAGGGCAGGTCTGGCTACTGAACAGATATTTGACCTTCAGTTTTGCGGCAAAATGCTTACCATGAAGAAAGCACCGCGGTGATAATATTTCTGCAAGAACTTGTATTTGCCCTTCATGGCCTTGTTGGTGATGACCTTGCCGTTGGCTCGGAGCTCAGCCCTGCGTTCTTCCTCAGTCAAATTCCGTACCCGTTCAATCTCTGCTTTCTCCTTTTCTATCCTATATAGAATAAAAAGGGAGTATGCTTCAGCTTGATAAATGACTTTTAGCAGCTTGCAGACTCCCATAGCCACAGAAGGTTGCCAAGCGGCCATGGGGCTTGTCCAGTATTACAACAGCCTAGCTTTGTGTTCCTGACAGCACAGAAAGGTTTTCTTGTGAAGATTTTTCTTTTAACACCTCAAGAGCCAGATCATATCATGATGGGATTTATAATACTCCCCTTGCTAGTTTCTGTAGATAGGGAGGGCTTTATTATTCAGCATCCTTGACCATAACCAAGAGAGAACTTGTACTCTTCTATTAAGGTGAAAATTGGGGTGATATGATGCTGCTGGAGACAGGAATGGTCCAAATTAACTTCTTGCTCTAACTGGACAAAACTGAAGAGAATTAGATGTGATAGTGTGCAAAACTGCCCCCAGTGTTCACTCTCTACTTCCTTAGAAGATCTGCATGAAGGAACACCAGAGACGAATGCCTACATAGCCAAATTGGATACCCAATTATGAGGCCACTGCTGTATCACTGTAGAGGTTTTGTATGTAATTATGTGGATTGGGTTTATTTCTCTCCTGTCATATTTTCATCATATGCTAAATCAGTGGTTCTCAACTTTTCTAATGCCGTGATCCCATAATACAGTTCCCCATGTTGTGGTGACCCCCAAGTGGGTTTGGCCACCAATAAAAGGGAGTAGCACAGCTAGGGAAAAGGGGAAAAAATGGCTGACAGCGTGGTTTGGCGACCCCCGTGAAATGGTCATTCGACCCCAAATGGGGTCCCGACCCACAGGTTGAGAACCACTGTGCTAAATAAATAAACATTAGGAACACACACAAAAAAAATCTGCCCTCAAATATCTAAAGGATTATAATGTGGAGGGGTTGATATGCCCAGTATTACTGTTCTAGTAAAATAATAAAGAATTGGTTTAATTACAAGGAATTGGTTAGAAAACTTCATACTGATCAAAATTGTCTGGCAACGGAACAAGCTACTTTGAGAGGTGCTAGAGCTGCTTACAAAGGCTGAATGGCCCTCCATCAGAAAGCTGTAGTTCTGGAATTCCACACTGGGAAGGAGGTTGGATAAAAAAAAATCAGGCGCAGTAAATAACCTGGCATCAACAATCATCCTCTTTTACCCCCTCTTGTGAGGATGGAAGGTTTTAACTGTTTACCCAATGAAAGCTCCATCTGTTTATACTTACGCCTCACGTTCCTCACGATCTCGCTTGATTCGTTTCAATTCTCGCACTTTCCAAGCTTCATACTCTTCCTCGTCATTCTCATCGTCTGTATCCAAAGCTTCAAGGGCTGCCAAAGAACGCCTGTTCTCCTCCAATTCCTTCTTGGCTTCTTCTTCTACAATCTGCAGTAATTTAGGGGAGAGTAAACCTGCTGAAGGACCACATTCCTTGTGTCTCAACCACCTGCTCCTTCCTTTCCCAATACCTTCAGGGTGTACTTGCGCCTCTCTTCAGCCATACGTTTGGCCTCTTGCTCCAGCTCCTTCTGTTTCAGGGCTTCTGCTTCTCGCTCCTGGACTGTGATTCGGTCCTTTCTGCAACAGGTATTTGTGCCAAATTGAATAATAACCAAATTAAATCTTTTCTAGAAGAAAATCTCATTAAAATTCACACCCATCGGTGCAAGAAAAACACCGTGGAAGCTACCAAAATGGAGTTGTAATTATATGCCACCAACATTTTAAAGGAAATGCTGTGGAATACCTCTCAGGCTCAAGAAATTAGTGCCCACTGCCACCTCCTCCCCCTTTTTTTAACTAATGGAACTTGCTTGCGAATGAAGACAGGTTTAAGACGTGGTTCAGTTTCATCTTCACTATCTGTATACTCCTCATATTCAGACTCAGTTTCAGACTCCTCCCCAGAACGGCCCTCATCTTCCAGTTCCATCACTTCCAACTCCTCATTCTTGCGTTCCTGAGCACGCTGGCGCATCATATTACGGCGACGTTCAATTTCCTGTTAAGAAGAGTTAAAGGAGAATGATTATCGTGTGTTCATGCACTCTACCCCATTCCAACCAGTCTGTCAGGTATCAATTTATGGCTAGGTTAAAATTCCTGCAGAAAGCAGAGCTTTCCCAAAGGACCTCCAAAATGTTGCTCAGAGATGCAGTCCAGCCCCAAACGCCACACCTGGCCCTTCCGTCTGCACATACCTCATCGTCTACTTCCTCCTCTTCCTCCTCACTGGTGTCCTCGCGCTCCACGTGCCAGGCTTCGCCCTCCACTTCAGAATCACTCTCCCCCACCACTTCTGGCTCCACAATCTTGCGGTGCCTCGCCAGCCTGGAAGACAAGAGGCCGTTTTCCTCCCTCTGCCTCTGCTGAGATGCAAAGAAGCCTCCATCCAGACTTGGCCCAGATCAAGGGTAGGTAACTTTGGCTCTTTTATGACTCGTGGACTTCAACTCCCAAAATTCCTGAGCCAGCCATGCCCGGGTGCAGGTAGCCTGGCTGCCACTCACCTCTCTTCTACATCCTCGCTGATGCGGTTCTGCAGGCGGCGCAGCCGGGGGTCGCTGGCCAGCTCCTCCTCCTGCTCCTCGGGCTCCAGCTCCTGTTCCTTGGCCTTCTTGATGAACTGAAACTCCTCGTCTTCCTCATCGGAGGACTCCATGGGCGCATAGTCGGGGCGCTTCCCCGACACGTATCGCTTCACCTTCACCTTTTCCATGGAAATCTCCCCTGGAAGAGGCGGGCGGGGTTCAGGCCTTGCAGCTGAGCCCGGCGCCCCCTCTTCTTTCCCCTCCGCTCCTCCCAGCCGAGGACCCCCCTTTCCGCCCCCTCCTTACCCTTCTCGTTGCGGACGGGCACGGCCCCCGCCGTGGACTGGATCGGGGGCTGCTTCATCAGGGCGTTGCTAGAGCCTGACATGGTGACGGCTGGGGCCGGGGAGCCGCTGCAGGAAGGACGGCCGCTCGCCTGTCCGCCGCGCGTAAACACTGGACTGACGGACGATGCGCTTCCGCTTCCGGCTGCTCTGGCTCGCTTCCGCTTCCGGCGAGCCAGGTCCCGTGGAGGCGGAGCCTAGGCCAGGAGAGGCAACCTCGGCTCTTTTATGACTCGTGGACTTCAATTCCCAGAATTCCTGAGCCAGCCGTGCGGAGTTCATATGTCTCCTTATTGAATGTTTATTGAATTGTTTCCTTATTGAATGTCTATTTTTCTGAAGAAGGGCCGAGGAATTTG